AAAATAATCTTCTTGACAAAACAGAGCTTCAACTTAACCTATTGCAGGATTCTATGGAAAAAATACCAACCCTTTTGTATATATTTATATAATTGGGGGAGAGACAGAGCAAGTGAGAGAAATACTGTATAATTGGTCTGAGGTTGAAAGGAAGCGAGTCCAGAAGCGAGCACATACGTTCTTTTAATGAATCAGACGTGATGAAAGGCAAGCGCATTTTCAAAGACATACATATTTTAATTGGAGTTTTCAGAAGCAGCTTTCATCTCCTCCTCTCCGTATTCATGTTCATTCATTAGGGTGGCGTAAAAATATCCCACAAGGTGTGTAGTGTTGACAGTAATCCTATAAACCTATTTGATATCCCATATGATAAAAACTGGTAATTTCTGGTCATCTGCGTAACTGATGGCTCGTGCCTTTAGTTTTAATTCTGTGTATCCAGCAGAAATAAAGTCGAAGTTGTCCTTTAAACATCACTGCGGATGTGAACGTGCAGATGCAAGTGGCATTAAGCTTCTGTGCAATTTCTGTCACAAAAATATTCCCTGAACACGTCATTTGGCCTCAATTATTGTCTTCTTACGCAGCCTTTCAATATCGTAACTGCCATTTCTCCATTCATTTAAATGCCACAGCTGATAAAGGTGCACAGTGGAGCGGCAGTAAATGGCAGAAAATGATTCATTTTCATCAATGTAAGTGCAGGCTATTTCCAAAAGAGCTTGAGGAAAACATTCAGCAGTTGCTCCTGAAGTGTGATTCCTGTAATGTCGCAGTTCAAAATAGATGAAATTGGTCATGCTAAAATCTTCTTTAAGCGCCAACCTGTGTGTTGCTGTAAAATGTGCTCTAATTCCTCCAAGAGGCATTTAGTTTGCAATTACTGCAGATTGTTCGAGCAGCAGAGGTTCTGACTGTGGAGCGAAACTGAAGAGCTTTCAACATTTTGCAGGCCAAACTTTGTTTTTCTTTTCAATTGCTTCGTTGGTAAAAATCTCATTTAGCTGAAGGAGGCCAATTCCTCCTCATGTCCAAAAAAAAATTGGAGCTGCTTCATCCCTGAATGTGATTTTCTGGGACTGCATAAGCATGTGACACATTCACATGCACACACACATATTTGTAGCGGATATACTGTACGTACACAGTGTCACATGCAGCATTGTATACAATACTTGATTACTGGTTGGTTTTTACAGGCTAAGTCTAAATAAGCAACAGATATTTATGAAATCAAGAAAAAAACCCTACATGACTGGACAGTATATGTGCTCTCCTTTACCCAGCGTCACTTCAAATTTGCATCAAAAATAATAAACAAATGTGAAAATACATTGTTGTATTACCTGTAGATATTGTAGAGCAGGGAAGCTGAAAGAGTAGGACGTGTCATAACGCCATCATGTTAATGTTCTAAGACTCTGTTTGGTGCCAGTCAAACTTTCTATTGAAGCCTATGGGAGAGGCACACGAAAAAAAAATTTCTGGGCTGTGTGGGTCTTTCATTTGGGAGGGGCATTTCTTACCACATGTATACCGGTTTGGTTGCATACTTAGAGAGACAATCAGAGAGACAAAACATCCACCCTATTTTATACCCTTGCCAACAACATTATATGAAATGACAGCTATCTTCAGTGTGAAAAAAACAGACATATGTATAATGATATCTAGACAGATAGTTGAATGGATAAATAAATGTCAAGTGTTAGGAATTTCACTGCTCGATCTGTGCAGTCAGGATGACACGTATGCTCAGCGAGTGCAGGCGGAGGTCGCCTTCGCTAGCGCTGCACATTCTACCCACCTCACCCCATTTGTTTCTGACAGATTGACACAAGGGTGTGTATGTGTGTCAAGCTGTGCCAGGGGAATGAGGCAGAGGTGTTGATCAGTGAACTGAAGCTCTATGACTAGCTTCGCTGAACGACACTGTAAGCTGTTCTCTGCCCTAGCATCCAGAGATAGAGATCATCAGGGTTGAGTCCTCATCTAATCCCCAACACTACTAGGTTAGTAGTGGTAGTGGTTATTTGCATAAACATGTCATTCTAACTTAAAATGAATGTATAATGCTCTATATGCTGCTCTTCAATGCAAGCTGGTGCAGAGGGAAATAGATATCGTAATCCTAAACCATTCTAATCTTTCTCCAAAACCCAAAATGTTATGGTGAGTGTCAGAGTTCAGTGCACGACATGTTTTTGAAAAAATGACATGTTTTGAAAAAACAAACAAGAAAGAGACTAACAGCAACTTTAATTTATATCATATACACTATGGAAAAAAGTAAACAATTTGGCATTTTTCTTGCAAAGTTGTTGTCCACGGACCTGTTAACATTTAACAATTAAAAAATTGCACACCTTATTTTTAGTGTAACCCAATCGAACCAGCACACAGATGTCATAAACATACTGTCCAAATGAAATAACAAAATACATCATTTATATAACCTAACCCTAATCAAGTTATTTAAACAGCTTAAAGTAGTTCCTTCCATCCTGATTGTGACAAAACTCAAACAAAGCTGCCATAAGAATAAGATAAATGATATTGTGAGCAGCTTGTGTTAATTTAACAGGACAAAAAATCTCTTTGAAAAACAGCCTGTTCACCACAGAACAGCTTACTCACCACTATGAACACGTCGTCTTTTATTTAGAAACGCTGCGAGGAAGTAATGTTCCATCATTTATCATTAGAAAACATGAATTACTGTAAACCTCCATGTGCTCCCTTCCCACCGAAAGATAATGACTTAAAACCTGCCTGTTATAATCAAGGTATGATTTTTAAGGAACAATTATGCTATAGCTCCATGCTGTGCTAAGTGCAAATTAATTATTTACAACTCTATTAGTCAGTGTGAGACTAAGCTTCCTGCCAGGCTCGCTGCTAGTTAAATTCAGTTTTGACACTCATTTGACATATTTGGCTATTGTGGGTCTCCAGAGTGAAAAAGTGTCGGTCCTCGGATGTGATTTTCAAGTGAATTAGAACTCATTCAAGTTGTGTAGATTTTTGTATACGCTTACATTTTGCAGACTTGTTCTAGAGTAGAGCTCTGTTGTCGGCGATTATAGCTTTTTTATTTCATTGGTGAATCATATAAAAGACATTTACCTATAAAGTACATTTCCACTGAACAGAACTTCCTTTCTGTTAAATTCACTTTGGATGTAGCCAATTCGATAGATAGGGTTGTATTACATTACGTTCAACATTTAAAACATAACTCTAAAGTTGTTTCTGTAACTTGGTGACAAAAAATAAATAAATAAAAAATTGCTGTATCACAACATAAAAACAAGTTAACTTATAAACAATGTTATTGAGAGAAGTAGCGGGGGACAGAAGAGGAAAAGGGAAACAGCACAGGCCACCATAGGTCTTCATCTGAATCTTTATCAGTGCCAATTAATTCACTTCCTGCAAGCTAACTAATTAAAGGTTCAATTCATCTATGTCACAAAAAAAAAAAAAAACTCTTTTGCAGACTGTATAGTTAAAACTAAGTAAGTATGACACTTAAATACTGGGGCTAGAAGAATTCTAGTAAAAGATAACCCCTCATTTTTGCCTAATTAAATCTGTGCTGATTATAAAAGCAGTCATTTCCTGCTCAAAACATATTTGTATTGTAAATAAGTGCCGTTCTTTATGTGCATAGGCGTACAGAACACCTGCCCAGGTGCACAAACAATTCAACCTGTCATCAGCCAGACATCCGAGGCATTCCACCGCTCACAATTTGTTTATCCGATGCCCATGTTGAGTGCCAATGCAGGAAGCAGTGTAGCCTTATCTAACAAGGCCTAAGGCATGGGTGAGGAGGTAGGTGTGGTGGAAGAGCATGTAGCAATTATCTTTTGTTCACAGGTATAAACGCTGGTGGAGTAGAAATATATGATATACTAATATGCAACGTAAGTAGTTACTGGTACTTCTATGTCTATTTATGGTTAACTAGGAGTGGATGCTTCTGCAAACACAACATGTGTATGCACTGCTTTATAAATACAAAGAACAGACTGCATATGCATATTTCTGTGTTTTTGGGGGTGAGTTTTAGTCGTGAACCTATAAAAAGAGTTTTATGCATCTTGAAATGAGTCTGAGTGCAGAAAGGTGTCATTGAGTAGGCTTGGTGCACAGTTCAGGTGTCTCTTTAGTATGTGCACAGCATAGAGAACAGCTGTGTAACCAAATAGCGTAACTCCCTGTCACTGACATGACCTAAAGTGATAGTCGCAGGGATTTCCTCTCACCTTCTGCCCTCACACTCCTAAGAGCCAGATTGACAGTTTTGACAGGTGGTACTTTTTCAGAGGATTTTGTGTCACAGAGAGCTGGAGACTGACAACCGGTGGAGTATTCATACTCAGGTCCGTGCTGAAGCTGTCAGTCGTCCTCTCAAGAATAAAGACCATGCATGGCTACTTCAGCTGAACGAAATAGGCTGCAGGGGCCGCTGACAGACAAGATCAAGCAGGAGCCGGCGCTTTGTACTCTCTGAGAATCTACATATTTACTTTATGTCTTCCAGATCCAACCTGCCATGCTGTTAAAAGGACAATGTCACCCATTCAGACTAAGTGTGGCACTCAATTTCCTTCAAAGGAGATCAAGAAAGATTCAATGAGGGACATCCGTTAAAGTGACATCCTACCTCGCTAGGACAATGGGACGATTTAGTACTTTATCTCCATGTGAGCTCTGTGGACAGTGAACCATGGATAATAGCTACCTCGGGGAGCTGCATTTAGTGCTAGACAGCAGGTCATAGGTGTTTGATGTACAGTTTTTTAGACAAGACTCTCACACAGTGTATTTGAATGGAGTGTGAAATTTCCCTGGATCACGTATTGTTCATGATTCACTGACGACGGCCACCACAGTGGTGAACACGCTGCAAACAGCAAGTGCTCAGCAAGAGCCATTTGTGCTTCCATAATCACAGTGATATATCACACATAACCACATATGCAAGGTCATTACTTAAACTAATCTGTGCTTTTATTAAAGGTGCAGGACACAATTTGAACATACACACGCATTTTGCTGGGTTTGAAGAACAACAACTAACATCTGTTCTACTTGGCTAAATATATCTGTAAACTTGTGATTTGAGGTTGTTGGTGCCAAACAACAAATGACTCAAATGTGCAAGCAATGATCTTCCACCGATATGGGTAAAGAAGCCCAGTATCCATACATCCGTATTGAAAGACACCAAAACACTCACAATTTCTCCCTCCCCACACATCTCCAACCTCTGTGTCATTTTCATTAGCAAACTCTCCTTTGGACACCACGTCAACCAAATCACCAGCACTGCATTTTTCCACCTGGACAATATAGCTTGTCGCCGCCCATCACTCTACTTCTCTGCTGCTGAAACTCTGGACTAATGAAAACCTTCTGAAACACCATTAGATAAACCAAGAAAAGGTCAATACATGTTGTTAAAGTTCCAGTGTGTAAAATTTAGTACGATCTGTTCATAGTTCAGTTTTCATTAGTGTATTACCACCTGAATATACAAATTGTTGTGTTTTTGTTACATTTTACCTACAGACTGCCATTTTGAACTGCCATATTTATACAGACACTGGGTCTAAATAAAGTCTTTTGGCATCTACCATAGTTTTCTCCTACATGCTTTGAAGGTTCAGCTGTATTCACTCACTCACATTGTGACTGAGCATAATGCACTCTAACTGCACTGAAATTACATTATATTCTCATGCAATTCAGAATCAGAAATACAGAATCAGAAATACTTAATTGATCCCGGGGGGGGGATTTGTTTTGTTTTTCCAAACTTCATATAAAGCACTTTGAATAGCCTCCACTGGTGGATAAAATTTGATGCAGTGCACTAATGGGTGCTCTTAAGATGGAGAAAATGTGATAACCTGGAGAAAATGTAATGTGATGCCATATAGGCTGCCCTACATGCTAGAAAAGTAGTTGCTCTCTACATGCCTCTATATGGTTAAGTAGTTAATGGTTCCCTGTGTGTTTTTATTGCAGATGTGTAGTAGTTATACTTTAAATCTGAGTCACATAATATCATTTTGCTAGGGTTTGGAAGTGTTTCAACATAAATGCATCATGACTGTGCGCTGGTGCCCCACAGCATGCCGCTGATGCCCTTTTTTTTGCCTCTCAGACAGTCTGAGTCCACTACTGATGAACCTTCATTATGAGAATGTAATCAGCTGGTCTATGGTTACTGTGTTTACAATGTAATGCATGTACATGGTGTAAGGATTTCACTTCAAAACCAAATTAAATATAAATTTAAACTCAGATCCACGTTGTTTCTTACCTGGAAACCAAATATAATGTTTTGCAGAAAGTGAGATTTATTTTTATGTCATTGTGGTGAAAAGTAATATTCCTATGCTAACCTTGAAAGTATCTCTCATAACTGCAGTTGCGATTCATTTTCTGATTTCTGAGGCTTACACTATCCCTGTCAGATCTGTAAACCTGACGTACCCTGCATGTGAGCATTTATTCCATCATTGGCCAGCTCATTTAACTGTGTGAGCCATACAGGCTTCACAGTTGCATCTGTCTCCATGTAGTTCACCATATGCAGCTTTCTGCCATCTGAAGGGTGTGTCAGATTTTGAGGAAGTGACTGTTTTGGGCAGTGGTGAGTGAAATGTCCTCCACTAGTCACTCTGACAAGCTGCTGGTATCTCTGGGAGCCTGGTGTCTCATCCTGTGTCTCTGCAATGTAAATTAATGTTGTTACAGGTACAGTATTCTGTGGAGTACATGTTTCTCAGTATTTATGACTGATGGAGTCTAGAATAAGGACAGTTTAACTGGTGCCCCTATAGAATCAAGTGATTTATGCTTGTCTGGGACAGTCTGACATATGAACACCCACATTTATCCAGACTTTAACAATATTAGCAGGTAAATGGGGACCAAACTAAGGCTAAAATAAAACCCTCATCTTAAAGAATATAAATCCAGTTAGATGGAAGGAGTCAGGTTTTGGTGCCTTGAGAGAGAGCCAAACAGGGTGAAGCTACTCTTAGCATGCACCCCAACTTAACTTTAGCCACTTTTAAAATTAAAAATGTAATGAATTAAATTAAAACCTCTGTTCTCCTGTAGCTTTGACTGATTGACTTCTCTACCTTTATTGAATTTAGAATTTCTTATCTGCTAACAGCACTGTAAGTGCACTATAAAAAAATGTCTGCTCTTTTATTAATTAGTTTTAATCTTATGTTTTACCTTGTGTAATAAGTTACTGTTACTAAGTAGGCTTCCATACCGAGGGAAAACAGGTTGGCTCCTCCTCCTGCCAAATAATAATAATAATAATAATAATAATAATAATAATAATAATAAATATATAATATTATCCTATGCAAATCAGTTATTGTGGTTATGTATCAATGTGTATGGATGTGTGTATATTTAAAAAGGCTATTAAGCTATCTTTTTGTGGAGTAAAGGGCTTTGTAAAAACAACCACATGTAAGATTTCCTGCTACTAAAACAGTATTTTCTTTAATATATGTGGACATGCTGTGCACCACTAGTGATTTGCATTTGTACTCACATTGTTATTAGATTTTTTGTCCTTGCAGTTTTCTCCAATTCCTCCCGGCATATTTTATTTTCTTGTTTTTGCTTTGTACATCTGATGTGCTTGTACATAAAAAACAAAGAATTAGGTTACAAAATAATGTCAAAGTACTTCTCAAAAAGAGCTAGTGTGATTGAAAGCACAGCAGAAATCCAGTTCAAAATTCTGCAAAAGAAAAGTACAGTATGTGACACTTTTTACAACAAATGTTCTTATCGTACTACTCAGCTAGTTCTAATAAAATAGAATCAAATGAAATGGAAATTCATGCCCAAAGGAAACAAGAGTTGAAGCGGAGAATAACATTTGTAATAACTTTGAGAATTTTCCACGTTTTACTTCAACTGTTAATAGCAGATCTGTTAAGAGCTTTTCTTCAAATGGAAAAATTAGAGTTCACTTAGTCATGGAGAGGTGAATCTTGGGGCAGCACGAGTGTTTTCCACTCGAAGAGAAGATTAAACTCCCTTCTGTCAATATTAAAGGCTCATCTGAGGGTTTTGGAGCTATTGGCACATCAGTCTGCAGAATTTCATCATGGCAGTCTGGAGGAAATAAGGTTACAGCCTCCCCATTGTCCTCCCACAGCTGTGGATATCTTATTGCATCTTTAGCTGACATATCAAGTTTCCATCTGCTGAATGCTCAGGTGTATTAGGATTCTTGATCCACAGGGAGAAAGAATCAAAAAAATCTAATTAGAACACAGGTTGTTAAGAATATGTTGCTCATATAACTGCACGTTATTGTTTTGAAACCAGCAGTTGCACACTGTATATACATTTTCCCCAAGTATTTTTTTAAAAACTAGTAGTACATATTAAACAATATTAATACAAATATTAATATTCTTATCGTCCAGCCATTATAATCTAGAAACACAGAGGATTTTAGCGAGTTCTGACACTTCAACGACACATTACTAAGCTTCACATAAAGGGTTAATTAATTGCAAGCGCTAATGAAACCTATTCGGATTGTACAGATTGTACAGCTGCAAGTAATGAACTCTTAACTCAATGAAGGATTCACCTTTTCTTTTTCTCCAAATCCCTTGAAAACCAGCACAGGGTTTAGCGGCACCACCGAGTCTAAGAGTGACCATTTCCTCCTGGCGAATGAACTGTGCGGGCAGAATGGTTTTTGTGGCGAATAGTGGGAACACAGACGTATTATTCCGTGCAGAGATCCTGTTACACCAGAGGAGGTTCACATGCTTGGCAGGATGACCACTATGAAAAGGCTCTGGTTATCTGTGAAGCCCCTAGCAACAGCATTCCCCAAGAGAGGAAGCTGGCAGGGTAGCGGAACAGAATGAAGTCGCTGTGTCCTGATTGTTAAGTGTGATTACATGAAGAAGTGTCACCGACAACACCTGTTGTTGTGGGCTTTTGTTGCACGGCAGGTCCCAGTTCCATTTTATGTGCGTGGACGCATCTGGGTCGAATGTGTTTTTGTCCACTGCCCTTTGAATGGTCAGTGCATTTAGGCTGACATTTAAAAGTTTTGACTTTGTTTGTGACATTTATGTATGACAATTAAAAAATGTCTGCCACAGACTAATAGTGATTCTAATTGTACACAATTTGGGAGCCTTTTACATTTGCTATTTTCAACAGAGTCTCACCACACAGAAAGTGATTTGTGCATTTCTGGTTCAGAAGAAGATCTGGTTAGTCAGTATGACATGTGGCGGTGACTGTAGCAGAACAGACAAGCAAGTAAGCGCTGCTTGCCAAAATTCAGAAAAACAACAACGGCAAAGACACGATAGTATCACACATTGTTGAAAGCAAGCGATCTGGAAAATGCAAAATATAGTATATATATAATATGTGCTTTAGGAGGTGGCGCATCATTACCTAAACTATCACTAATATTAGTCTTTTTCTGAGTCTCAAGACTTTGCAGGGCTCTGTTCCACTACATTCTGTCATTTTTTTCAGCTTTTAACTGGAATCTTGGGAAAAGTGTACTTGACATAGTGTACTTCACACCAGAGAGGGATACTGGTGCAAAAACTAGCATCAGTGTCATTATTGTAACCTTCCTAATAGTATCAAGAAGCTGCATCAAGGCCAAACTATTACATAATCATATTAGCACAGTGCAGGTGAATAGACAGACGTAAGTAAAATCACAGATACAGTCGTAAATGTGATGATAATAAATAATAAAGACAAATCTAAAAACATCAAACAATAAACTAGCTATATTATTGCATGTTGGGATTTCTACAGCACTGAAATGCTTGCAGGGTGCTCTTTAATCAAATCATTTTTATCAAATCTAATAATGCTTAGCATTTGATGGACCGGGAGTGGTCATAAAACTGTGATGGGTTTTAGGTCAGTGCTTCCTGATTACCCTGGCACAGAGTTGTCACTTTTTAAGAACTGCGAAGTTGCCTCATGTGTAGCTCTTTGCCATTAAATTTATGGTGATGTATGCATGGAGTAGACTAATGGACATACAGAAGTAGTCTGCTTTAATGGGTCTCGTCTCGTGTGCTTGCCAAACAAAATGCCTGAGGTATGTAAAAAGAAACAAGAAAAAAAAAGAGAGTAGTGCATATTTGATCTGGTAAGCACTTGGAAACAGGCTGGAAGTTGTGGGGTTATTAATCACAGGACTGTATTCTACGAGTGAGCAATCTTGTGTGGTGTAGCATGGTGCACTGTACATTTCATCCCTCTGGAAAGCAATTTATTGGACCAGCTTCATTCTGCAGAGGGGATGTTGGGGGGGGGGGCACTCTGAACAACCACTGTTTTCTAGATTTACTCTGTCACTGCAACTATTTATGTACTGTATGTGAAGATTTGCTGATAGATCAGGGATGCAGAGAATTGAGTGTGAAGGTGAGTGCAGGCATGTACTGTGTGAGCTGAAATACATGGTTGGTTTATGTTTGGATGACATTTATCTGCATGCATATAGCTTAAGTTTTCTGGGAGTTTGCATCCCTATAAGAAAAATGAAGGCTTCATCAAACACAACCTCCCACTCTACTGGTTCACTTCAGCAACTGAGCCTTACCATTGAGATGTCAGAGGAGTGCACTCTAGTCCTTCAGTGTGGAAAGAAGGGACGCTCTCTAAATTGATTTTTCCTTGTTGCTGAAATACAAAGCATTTAAGGACGACAGCATAGGAAGCACAGTTTCTCTTTATCAGCGGATACAAAGAGAGATAGACGGAAGTGAGAATTGGGCTGTGTTTTTGTCCGCTGCTGTGTTTCTGCGAAGCTGGATTGCGAAGGCCTTGAAAGTTCTAGTTAGCAGATTTGAGAACTGACGTCTTGAAAATATTGTAAATGGATAGTCATGGATTTTATGATGTTATGTTGATCAATGCCATGTGTTACTCTAAAATGGGATAATTTGCAGTCCTTGTAAGCTAGTGCACTTGCTGCATAAGAAATATGGGATAGAAAATACCTTAGAAATGTCAATTTGATTAACTCTATTGCGGCTTGAAAATACACTCAATCAAAACCAATACAACAGAGCAATAGTTTCAATATTAATGCAGTTCTTATTTACTTATAGAAAAGAAACCATGGTAACAACAGAGATGTGCACTTCCTACTTTGGTGTTGCAATTTCGCCTACACATGTGATAATTATAGTTGACATTTGCGTTTAAAGGAAAATTTCGTCATTTTTGGCATGTTAGCTTAACTTAGCACAAAGACTAGATACAGGATAGCTCTGTCCAAATATAATCGAGCTAAGCTAAATGTCACAAAACCAGTCTGGCTGTGTGTGCGTGTTAATGCTAATCTATCGTGCAAAGATTTGTTGCAACCAAAGCAGAGTTTGTAACAACAACAGTTGACAATGAATTTTCAATGCTATGTTATGATATGCGAGGTAAAATTACAGTTTTTTTTCTATGAAGTCTGGTGGCAAGCAATAGGGATATTATGGCTGTTTCTGGTTAAATTAAAGGTCTAGCTCTGTCAATGTTATGGGAAGAATCTCGACAGACACTTAGAAGAGCAATCTGAGCCTGTCAGTGGCAAAAACAACCACTTTTAGTGGACGTACCTAAGAATTAGCTTACATTGTCACTGCCATTACAGCCCTTTTCCTGAATATTTTCTCATCCAACTCAGTGAATTAAGGGTTTAGCTTTGGTGAATGTTGGAAAGGGTGACAAAGATGTTTTTTTATTTTGTTTCTGTCTGGTTTGATGTGTGTTTTACAATTGTCTGTTAGGTAAAATTACGTGTATTGTCAATGGGGCCTAGTCTGCCATAGTGCCCATGTTTTGATCTTAGATGCTGGTGCTCTATTGGCAAGTGCATTACACACACACATATATATATATAACCTTATAAGTCACTCAAAGTTAATCTTGCATCTGTATTGTAAATATAGTTGACACAGGAATAAAACATGTTAAAACAACATTCAATTATTCACATATTCAGAGATATTTTATGTTTTTTATTTATCAACAGTTTTTATTGATTCATTGATTTGATGCCGTTCCATCTCTATGGCCATACCCTCATCCCCCACACCAGTGATGGAGATGTGAGTAATGAATATCTGAAAAGAAAGGTTAGTCCCTTGTGCCGCTGTGCTGATACAAAGCAGTTATCATTGTTTATTTCATTTTGTTTTCTCTGTGGGTAAAAAATCTATTTCTGAAAGTAGCTGAAGCTTAAAACGCAATAAAATCACAAACTGCGAGAAAATGACAAACAATGGCACAGACAAATGGCAACTGCTTTCAGAAATGCAGTGTTTGTGTTAAGAATGTGCTCTAATGAGACTGAGTGAAAAAAAACATGATGAAGCCTGACTTGACACAAACAACAAAGACCAGCGCTGCATCGAGTAAATGAAGTCTGTTACGGTGAAGGCACAGCTTCAACATCATCTCAGCACTCTGTACTGTGACAGCTTTTTTTTCTTCTTTTTTTTTTTTTTTTTCTTAAAGCATCCTGACAATATTTGGGACTTCTTTCTCACTCCAACAAAGACAAACAACTATGAAGCGGAACTGACTTACCTCAGGGCATCAAAACAGACTCCAGAGACTTAATCCCTTATCTTTTAAATGATGTATCACTTGGACAAAGATGTTGTCACTTCTGTGCTAAATACCTGGAGAGGAAATGACTGATGGCATTAGAATTCATACACCGGCAGAAGTGTTGCCGAAACATCCCATGGGATCATATGTCGTGAGTTGCAGCTGTTACCATGTCACTTTTCTCTGCTGTTGAACTCTCATGATGGTATCACAAGCTACAGTACAGTTCGCTTTTCAGACATCAATCCTTGTGTGAGAGGACAGACTGGAACCAAACCACAGGAAAATAAAAACACTGTATAACAGTATATTTATGTAAAGCTAAATTTAAGTCAGGGCATTTGTCATAGTAACTGTTCACAATAAAAAGGAAGAAACTCTTTCTTTTTGATCAGATCATTTTATTTTTATTTCAATAGTATAAACATACAGTAGTATAGACAGTATACAGACATTTGGACGCCGTGGCATATCAGTCACGGATATTGGTAATGTCTGCTATGAAGTGTTACGTTTCTCTGTCTACCTACTACCCAAAATAAACAAATGGGTGTAAAAAGAGAAAAAAAAAGGTAAAAGAGTGAAACATTAGATAATCAAGGATGAGCATAGTGGATGTGGATCAAGTACACAGCAGACAGAAAGAGCAGGGCGGTTAAAAGAATCACTAGAGATCCTTCAGTGCTTCAGCCGCTGTGAGCCATAGAATCAAATTCACTTCTTTAGCCCAATTTCTATGAGCTGACGATAACTCCATGTAAGTAACGTCAAGAAAAGTAAGAACCCATTGTTTGACCGGTAGAGTATGTGGGGGTTTCCAATGCACTGCAGTCATTTTTTTGGCGGCTGTTAGGCCTGAAAGCACTACACACTTCTCATATTTAGGGATCTGGAGCAAAGAGATGTCATTCAAAATCAAAGCTGGTATGGTCGCAGGTACTGTCTCTGAGATAAGAATCGTCAGTTTGGGAGTGACATCCTGCCAGAATTGGGCAACAGGCGGACATTCCCACATCATGTGGAGAAATGTCCCCGGAGTATTTAAAGAGCATAAGGTGCACAAGGCGCCTCAGGTAGGTTTCATGAGATAGAGCGTGCGA